AAACAAATAACAGCAAAAGATAATTGAAAAAACAAGTGGCTCTATAGGAGACCATGCTGCCAAGACCTGGCAATCTGACACCTTTCAAGCAGGATTGATTTCAGTGGCCAAACCATAGGCAATATTATTTGCCTGCCTCATGCAAAAAAAAAAAAAAAGGTTACTGATATAATGGAGCTTGTTCTCTTGACACAAGAACTATAGTAACACATACTTTCAGGGGAATGAGTTGAGGGACACTATCTTCTCAAAATGACAAGTTTGAACACAGGCGGATCACATACTTGTGGAACCAATACTAAGATGATTTGAGTAGACTGCTGATTAAAATGTTATGTGAAAAGGGCCACTATATTATGAAACCCCAGAAAATCATGTTAAACAAATCAAGTTTAAATTAACTATGGATAAGTGGTAATATGAATACAGTTCAGCTTCTTTAATCTTTTGTCAGAATATTTCATCTGAAACTAAAGTAGCCAAGAAAATATGGGAGAGAGGGGTGTTAGGTTAACGATCAGCATTGGTGAAACCTTTGCTTTTGATAATATAAATAATTTCTCCTTCAACCTGACATTACGAAGTTTTCCCAGCAATACCAGAGGTGCGGTTTGACATTGTTCTTTTGCAGGATGTTTCTTAGTCTCCCATACAAGTGTTAAGCAAGCATAGTCCTACTTAGCAAGTGTTGCTATTAACATTCTAAGCAGTTCGGAGAACCGGTTGTTAGAAGAAATTACTGGCCTAATCCTGTAAGGAAGGCAGGAAGGAAACATTCTGGTGTTGCTTACAGAAACTGCCTCTCGTTAACCCTTATTACATTCTTGGCAGGACTAGACTTTCTGTCTAGGAACTTCTCTGGAGTTTTTTCCCCCCTCCTTTGCTGGTACTTTGCTCGTGTGGAGTGACCATTCAAAGTTACAAGGCACTGAAAAAAGTGTCTTATGACCATTTTTCACACTTACGACTGTTGCAGCATCCCCACAGTCATGAGAGGCCAGGCGAGGAGATGCATGCCTCGATGTGAGTGATATTGAGTTGGCCACGCCCAGCCAATAACATGACCACCAAGCCACGTCCACCCAGTCACATGACCACCAAACCACACCCACCAACTAAGCCACACCCACAGAACCGGTTGTTAAGAAATTTGAATTCCATTTGATGGCAAAGTTAATGTAACAGCTGGATAAAGACTGCAGTTTCAAGTCTCTTTTATTTTAAATCATTCAACTTTACCACTACAAAATTGTTTTTGAGACATTTAGTTACTTCTCTGTGACTCAACTCTAGAACAGAGACCTATAAATAGGTTACAACTGTAATGCAGTAGGCAGGTTTTCAGTGTATATACTGCTTTATTACTTCATTTGTCTACAGGCCTGTACAACATGGCTTTTGGAATTTCTCTGAACCCTTTTTACTGGCAGGAGCAGAAACTCTGTGTTTTCTTCTATATAATAAGGAAACACTGGTCACATAGCAAGAACTGCTGGCAGATGGGCCAAAATGGATCCCATTTAATAAAAAGTATCCATGAAAGAGTCCTAAAACAAGATGAATCAATGACATCAGCAAATATTACGGGCAAAAGAAAGTTTAGGACCATATTGATTGGAAACATGAGGAAGAGGCCTTCATCCTGCAGTAGACAATGGCTAAATTGATAACATCAACTTGTCAACTTGTTTGTGTGCGTGGTAGGATTTCTAATCTGAGTGCATGCTTGTTTTATTTTGGTGTATTTTGTGAATGTATGTAAGTCTAATCAGGATGGGTCCATGTGTTTCATCTGTTTATTCTTTCTTCATGCAGGTGTGTACTAGGAAGCACAGAGTGATCTGCATGTGCTCTCCCCTGCTGCTCTGAGGAGGGAAGGGCCCCTTAGTGTAGCAATAGTTGGGAAGTGATTGTGTCACTCCCCAACTATTGCTACACTATGACTTTATTTCTTAGAATATTATTTCTTAGAATATTTTTTTTCACAGTCCAAGCTGGATTTGGCCATTTTCAAATTTAGTATTTCTTTTGCCATCTTCTTATATCAAATTATTTTCTGTTTTCAAATAGTTGTCTTGCTCAGAGACAGAATCCTAAGAACTTTTTCATAATTTCTTTATAATATTCTATTAGGTTGGAAAAGTATGAAAATCCGATCCCTCACATACCCCAATTCTCAACAGCAAAATGCCAAAAATAAAATAAAATAAAATAAAAATCAAGGTTTGCAGTTTATCTTATTCTGGGTTGTTTCATGAAGTGACAAGCCTCATTTATTCTAGAATTTGTTGCAAATAGACAAGCTGGACACTCAGCCAAACAACCAACACTCATCCTTGTTTAGTAGTTTATGTTCTATTAGATAATCACTTTTTTGAAACATGCTAATATATTGAAGTTATGAGTCATAACCCCTTTGGCAAAAGAGAACAAAAGTTCACCAATCTGTTATCCTAACTTCAAGGTAATTGAAAGTTAGGATAGAGGGGGAGGGACAAAATAATTTGTTTAAGCAAAAGCAGTTTCTTCAGCCCCACGCCTTCTCATTAAAAAGTCTTGTGTTTAGATGTGAGATTGATGAAATATGTAAGCTAAAATGGAGGCTGAAAAAAAGGCCCACGGTGAGCTTGTCTCTAGTGAAAATAGAGAAAGTCAATGCTTGAAACAGGATTAAGAGGACTTCAGGTTAATGGAGATGAAAACTGCCTAAATCTGTACTGAAGAATGAAGCTCATTTCTCTGGAATGAAAATGAGTGAGGGAATGCTGGAATTGGGATCCAACTCTCCAGAAAAAACAAAGGAGTAACATTAAACTGTTCTTAGGCATATAATTAAAAGGTGAGCGTCTGGAAGAAGCAAGTCTTATCTAATTAATATTCAATCACATGGTCCTGAACAGGATTTAGAAAGATAGAATGCTCCATCAGAATTGTATATGCTATATTTCCTGGGGGCTTGATTGTTTCTAGCAATTATCTCTAATAGCTAATAATTATGTGTGTGAAGTTATATAGCAGTAAGCCTCAGGTCTTGTCCATTGTGGATCTGTTTGTTTCCATATAACGTTTTATGGAAGACTGATATTGAAGATCCTGTTTGCAATTTCTTGTGCTCATTGTGAATATTTGACTACCTAAAAAGTAATCAAATTTTTAAAAGTTCCTTTTTAAAATTCTTAAACTATATTTCCTGTTTTGACTTGCAACTCATGAAAAAGGGAGTACTATTTTTTTCTGGGCATGTACCTTAAAGCAATAAAAATTAGGTGATACTACAGAATTTAATTTTGGTCATTATAACCCTCATTATTTTAGGCCTTAAGTTAGTGTATACAATTAACATTAATAAGTGCTGGGGGTGGATCCCTATATGTCCCGCATCCTAGGGTCATGAAGGAAGCTGTCACATAAAGCCACACCAAAGCAGATGGGTGGTAGCAGCTGGAATTACTATAACGTCCCTGTACTATGGCAAAAAGGTGAAACAGGATCTATAAAACTCAGGGGACTGGAAGAAGAAAGGTTGGAGACTATTTGTTGCATTGTGGACCGGTGCTTTTGTTGCTTCATGAATAGAATGTTGTGAAATAATTTGATAGATGAAGTCTTCTTAAGTCTTCTTAACATCTCCATGCTTGAGTTAAGAGGGCTCATTATTATATGACTCTTTTTACCACCTTTTCCCCTTCTATTTAATTTATTTCATTATTTAATGTAAAATGCTGTTCTCCAGTCATTATCTATCCATTTGATTTCTGGTTTCCTTGTTTAATTCATCATTACTTCTCATTTAGTTGTCCACATGTCACATTGAGCACTTGAGTGATTTTATTCAGCAGAATGAGGAATTTTCATCTTTCCTAATCAAAGTGCCGTTATTATCATCAAGAACTACTATACGAAAAAGGCTGGAGAATATACATACTAGTATGTTAAAATGCTCCTTGCCCAGCATTTCCTGTCCATGGATACTTACATGATAAGTTCTTGACATCTTGTTCCTTAAATTAATTCAGTACTGAATTTACTTACCCTTTATAATTTACTTTTTAAATTCACTTAGGAATGCATAAAAAATATGGGACCTATGATTCCCATGAAACTGAAATTTAGCAGAGTTTATACAATTAAAATTATCATAGTTTATGAAATAATACAAAATGTCTAAAATATTTCCTTAAAACAAAGCATCCATAAAACCAAGTGCCTAATCATAAGTGTCTAATTGCAGGCAGTTGCTGTTGGGTAGCAACATTTCCAAAGAGTTCAGCCCCTGAATAATAATTTAAAAAAATAGATCAGGCTTTGGAACCGGAGATTAGAAGATACATTTAGAAAGCTAAGATATTTTATGGTTCTAATGGGTTTAGCTTAATTTTATTTCACTATTTCTGGTGGAAGAACTTTGCCATTAGAAATATACACTTGGTCCTGATAATATGGGCAAAACAGTGCACTAACATGTAATTCCATATCAACCTAATTATTAACTCTTGCAAACACATTATACAGCGCAGAATTCTGATGTGTGCAGAAATGACAAATAATCCTGAAAGATCTCCTGCAACAAATCTCTGAATAAGCAGTGAAGAACTTTTCACATAAAAATTCAAAAGCAAATGTTTGCTTCTGAGCATTCATTAGAACTCATTCTATGATTTGTTTGATTCTTGACTTTACCTCCTGCAACAAGTACTGTTGTGTCACAACTATTCTTTTGTAGTGTACTTTCTGATGCACGTTTTCCTGTGACATAAATTAAAAGAATAGCTTAGCCTTTAGAACAATTATTTTTTTTAGCTGAAATTAATTTCACACTGTCAGTTGACCGATGAGTAGTCTTTTGACTGATACAGAGAAAACTGTGGTTTGTACATGCCATCTAATGTAAAAACACGTTTGACACAGGGATGTCTAGTCTGCTGTACAACCTTCTTGATTGCTATCCTAGGACATTGGCCTAGAGCAATGAGGATAGATTAGCAGTTAATCAAAAGCAGGATGACAAACGGGATAAGCAGTCAATGGCAGCAGCTGTTTCAGTGATATGGGATGGAGAAGATTCCATATTGGTTCAAGGAGATGTCTTTTTCACACCAACACTTACACTCTGTGCTGAAGCTGATAAGCTACAACAACACAGCAGTTTTTAAGACTAAATTACTAATGAAGCAAATTTAGTCTGTTGGGTGTTTTGTTTACTTTCTCATGCTTTTGTCATATATTGCTGAAGCTTTTAAGTGTGGCTACATGAAATGATACCATTGAATGTCTTCAGCAGGGGCTATTGAGCAAGAACAAACCGTTATGTGCAAAATGCAATACATACTGCTAACAACAAAACTAGGGATTGCCTTTCTGAAAATCATCTTGTTCAGTTAGCTGTCTTTGTGATTTGATCTTTATCTTCCCATACTTACTGACATATTCCAGTGTTAATGTTTACCTATCAGTACTTGTCTCTGCCAACCTATTGTTCATAATTCCCAAAGCACCTACTCCACCTGCAAATCCATTTTGCGCAGGTGAGACTGATGGTCTGTGAAAAGGAATTTCATCCAATTGTTTTTGCATGGCATCAAGTGATACTTTGTTAACAGCTAAGGGGTCTTTCATAGACATTTCACCAGATATTCTGGGTCCTTCTGTCTCACTGTCAAGGACACCATCTGACTCAATTGATACGTTGTGCTGTCTCCACATAGTCCCTGGCATCACATTTGTCTGTGATCTCAAGAGTTTTCTTCGGCACTTATGGCATGTGATGCCCATTTTCTTTAATATCCAGTTTAAGAATTGTTTGATAACAATGGAGGTCACATTAAATAAGGAATATACAAAACATATCCCTGTAAATATAACAACACTGTTGCCAAACTGATAAAGGTGTTGATTTTTGTAGTATGGATTCCAACCACTCACCATGTCACCAAAACCAACAGTACTGAAGGACACAAAACAATAATAAAGGGAATCAGAGTAACTCCATCCTTCTGTTGCCGAGAACATAGCAGAGGCACTACAGGAAACAATTACTGATACCAAACACAAGATAAGCATGACATAATACACAGAGGGCTTCCATCCAGCTAAGTTGCCTATTTCATCAATCCCAGCCTGCTGGACATCTCTAGGAAGTTTTTGTTTTAGCTTCCTCTTATGGTAAGTTTTCATAACACATCCTATGACTGTGATTAGACGCTCTAGGAATAAGTTGAAGAACAAGATGGTTGCTGCACAGCCAATAAGGCCATAAAATATCAGAAAAAGTTTTCCTGTTGTGGTAGTGGGTGTAGTTCTGCCAAATCCTGGAAGATAAAAATAGAAAAATGTTATGTAAACAAGATTTCTGAGCATTAAGATATTGCACATAAGAAGTCAGTGTATTATTAGAGTTGTCTATCAGTGGTAATATTAGAATAGTTATAATATGCACTTATGTAAAATTTCACAGCTTCTCAATATTATTCTTATTCCTTATAAACTGCTGATCACTATTAATATACCAATGTATGCAAGCTTGAGAGAGTTTTCCATATTTTTGAATTATTTCCTTTTTGTCTTCAGTTCTATAATAAAGAGTTCCTTTGTCATCTCTTAGTTGGTTAATCAATTTCTTTTCTTTCCCTTTTTTCAGTCTGTATGCCAGCCCTCTTCCTGGTTTATTTACATTTTCAAAAAAGTTTTGTTTAGACCTTTTAATTTTTTGTGCTAGTTTTTCTTTGTCTATTAAGTACAGTTTATGTTTTGTTAAAATCATCTGACTTTTTATATTTTTGTGGACTTTTGTATAATTCCATCTCTAATCTTTTATACTCCTCTTCTAATGTCTTTTGGGCTTGTCTTTTTATTTCTCTTTCTCACATATGTTATAGTTAACCCTATTATGTATGCCTTTACTGTGTCCCATACATTTTGTAATGAGGTTTCTTCTTTTCTGTTTTCTTTGGGGGGAAAAAACCCAGTTCTCTTTCCATAAATTGAGTGAATTCCTTTTCTTTCAATATTGATTCATTCATTGTCCATCTTGACCTCTTTTTTTCTCCCTTCCATATAACTTTTATCGGATTATGATCTGCCCAAGTACTTGTTTCAATGTTTATTTCATGTATAGATGAATTCTGTTGATCCTCACATCATATTTCCTCACATCATAGTTTCCTCACATCATAGTTTCCTCACATCATA